ACTTCTGCACCTGCTTTGAAACGTCACTTCTGTTACTTTAGAACCAATTAGACACTTGACTGCTGCATAATCTATGAAACTAAAAGTTAGTTCCTGCTCCAAAAGAGTTGATGCTGGAAAAGGTTTATTGACTACGAATGCAGAAGAAACCCATTCTGACCATTCTGTGGGGCTGCAGTAAGTGCAAGGGTATACAAAACTTCCACTATTTATAATCCTCTTCCTGTATGTTTTTGGTACTTTAAAGAAACAGTGGAAACTGTAAAAGACTGACTAGCCAGAAGAACTTCAAAAAAAATGTTTCTCTTTGCTGAGGAATAAATACTGTGATCTATGAGAGAGGCTTTTTTGAATTATAACTGCTGCCTCTAAAGTTGTGCAGAACTGCTTTCCCCAGCATCTGATGTGTCACTGTTATCATTAGTATCTGTCAGGGCTGTTACAGATTCTGATTGAAAAAAAAAAAAAAAAGAAGATAGCAGCACAGCAGAAGTTCTTCTGCTTTTGAAATTGGAGTTTAACAACTCCTGTGAACTGTACTTGCATGCTGTCAACACAGGAAAATATTCACTGCACGTTATCAGAGCAGTCTCACTGTTTGCTCCTTCCTTTTGACAATAGGGCCCACGTATATACCTAGCTTGTCCTTAAAGCACGTATTTTGAACCTGGATGTGCTCATTTTGGCATAACTTAGATAAAAGCCTCCCAAAAACTTCAGTTTTTTTGGATTCCTTTAGCACTTCAGATACAGATATGCACTAGAAAGTCTCTTGCTTCTGAAGCATTCCCTGACTTCAGCCATGCTGCCAAGCAATCCAGCAAAGGAAAAACTGAGTTTAAGGTCATAGTAACTATTAACCTTTGCATAGATACTACTGGGGCAAATGCACCATGGAAACCTCACACGAGCCCTCTGCATGTGGGCAGAACCTCACTCTAAAAGGCGTAACGAGATGAAACTGGTAAAATATTCCAACGAGATCAATTAGGAGAAGCTTTTTTTTTGTGGCAGAACTGAAACACCAAAAGTGGGTAGCTGTTGAGTCATAAATGGCAAGATCAGAAAAAGAGAGGGAATCTAAGCAGTGAAGATTTTCACACAGAAAAACATACACAGAACAGGGCAAAGGTACAGCCTAACACTTTTTTTTGCAGCTTTAGCATGGCACCAACATCCTCATATTCCTAGAAAGCATCACATAAAGTGTTTGAGAGTAATACAACCCATTCACTGAAAATCACCAAGTGCCATGCTGAAGGCCAGTAGGCTGATGCCATCAAACACTAAGGAGGACTTCGGGTTCTCAGGGGTGCCATGGAAAGGATGGATTTTTTCATAGACATTTTTCATAGTCATTTACACCCACAAAAAATGAATATAACACACTGCTATTCCAATTTAAGAGTGTTTTTCACTCATTCCTCAAAGGCGTAAATGACGGCTCTTGTCGTAGGACAAACGAGAGGAATGAGCCCTTTAATAACTGCCATGTTTAGGAAACAGGTTCCCTCTTGCACTGAAATTAGTGTCTCTCTTTCTATTGACTCAGGAGCTCATACTGGTAAGGGCTCAATTCTTCCAACAGCTTTGGAAGACTTTATTTGTTAACACTTTGGCTGAGACCTGAGAATGGCTGAAACATTTTTCTGAGGTGCGAGAAGTAAGGGCTTTTTTGCATTCTGGTCTTCTGACACAGATTTTCTCAGATCCAGTATCTGCCATTATTTATACAGCTCTGTTGTCATGTATGGCATTCTGCAGGCTAGTAAGAAGTCAAGAACCATGCTCTGAGGAGTTCATCATCTAAAAACTGGCATATAATTTAATGAGTAAGGACAAAAGAAAACAAGATAAATAGAAAATTGCTCCTGGGAAAGTTCCACTGTTTCTTTTTAATCACACGGAATGCAGATCATTCAGGCTGCTTCTGTTTCAGATTTGTTTCTATTTTGAATGCAAGAGAGAACGAGGTCAGACTTGGTGACCAAAAGTTCCGCTAGGAAGGATGAAATAGAAGCTACAAAGGGAATAAAAAATTTCAGAACCAAACCCTCTTATTCTCCTTCCCTTCCTCTCCTTTGTGTTGCCAAAGAACAAACCAGGAGATTTCAAGGGGAAAGCTTTTTATTTTCCGAAAATTGAGGTATCTTCAAAGTGATGCAAAATCCACCCACCCTTTGCTCCCACCTTTCCCAGGAGATGCAGCATGAAGTTGGGTTGCAGGCTGTGCACAGAGGGGTGCTGCTGTGATCAGCACCAGAGCTGACACACGTTGGGGTACCTTAGTGCAGTACAGGACCACCCTCAAATACTCCAGCATGTGTCTGGCCCTGTAACCACCTAGAACCAGGGCAGCTGACACGTAGTTCCCAGCACATGACTCCTTTCCATCCCACTTGACATTTTTTCCCTCCTTCTGCAACACAAACCAGCCTACACTTAGCAAACACATTCACACTATCAAGTTTAAATAGACTTTAATTTTTCTCTGCCTTTGCACTCAATGTTATCCCCACAGAAGAACACATGAATTTCACTGGCAATTATATTCTGAGTAACTTACTTAATCCTGAAATACATAACAGTGAGCATTGTGCACTTTCTCTATCTCATTTACAATGCTTGTAGATTTTTTGGAAAAAAAGTAGCTTTGTTTTTCTCTGGTAATTCTCTGCTGATCATTAGCTATAAATAGATTACATCCATGCATGTAAAAGCCTGCTCATTTTATAAACTACAGCTACAATTTTATTTTAAGGTAAACGACTGGCAAGGAAAAGAGCAAAAAGGCACATACATTAGAGGTATGCACGATGACATTTAAACAACCAGTGAGGTTCTCCTCACCTACCCTGATTCCAAATGCAGGAACAAGGAATATAACTGAATTATAGGCCAACAGATTTACATATTCGGAAGCCAAAAAAAAAGGAAAAAAATAAAAAGGAACATACAGAACAAATCCACTGCTGCAAGATATTTGCAAGATTCATATGGAATTCAGTAGTAACAGGAATATCTGAAGTTACTTAAAAAAAAATCTGCCATGTATCCCATGGAAGGGACATGTACCAAACTTGATGACTTGGGGAATTCTTAGGGAATTAAGTTTTCACTGTACATTTCTTAATAAAAATCAGTGAACGTGTGATTATTTCAGCATTAAAGGATAAAGTCGGGAGTAAAGAAGACTTTTATTCTACTGGACTGTATATACCCTCCTGTTGTATATATAATTTGTCCATTTTGATATGAATATCTTTCCTGTCTGTATAGTTATGTTTCTTTGGTAGAGAAGGCAACAGAGGAAGTAAAATGGTCACCTTGACTTTGGTATGAAAAAAGCTAAATCTTCTTTCTAAGGTGGAAGTTAAGTACACGCATTCAGCTCAGTAAAACTAACATGAATGGGAATCAATAACATGCTGTGACTCAAGGTGCCGAAGGCACGTAAGTTCACAGCAAAGCTACATTAAAGAAAGGAAGATTCACTTGTGAAATGGAGAAAATCACTAATGCAACTCAGTATCAGCTTTCAGTTAGCAGACGTAGCTTTTGCTATACATTGTGAAGCTCACTTTGTTAGACTTAACATAGAAGGAGCTAGCGAACAGTGAATAGAAAATTGCTAGTCTGTTTTTGCTTTCTTTGCCATGTCCTAAAGGTAGTCTCTAGTTTTGAATGTAATGTGGTTATCAACTGATTGTGCATTATCATCAGCTGGCCAGAAGCCCAATGACGAGATCACAGTAGTCTTCAATGAATATAAAAGAAAGAGTTTGGTCATGATCAGACCCCAGTCCCTGTGAATCAGTACCAACTGCTCAGCAGTGACCTGTTGGGCAGCAGAGTAAAGAATCTGAAATGGCGCATGTTAGAGGATGAAAGTGGGGCATGTGCATATGTGCAACGAAAAAAATTAGCTCCTCAGTAGTCACTTTGCATAGAGGTAAAGGCTGCTGCATCTCCACTCCTATCAGATTTGAGGTTGATGACTCTCTCAAACCTGATTTTCCTGATGGAGCAGAGCAGAGACTTTCCTGTGCCTGTATCTGTTATATTTCCTCCAACCTGATTTGCAGACTGGCAATTATAATGTCTCCTATTGCTGGTTTTTAAATGACAAAATTTGAAAACAATCTAGTTAAGGACACAGACAAAAAATTCCCAAGAGAGGACTGGGGACAGGAGACATATGCCAGATTTTCTTGGATAATGAGCTTTTAAAGCTCATTTCTTGGTATAAAAATTCCATATCAAAAAAGAAGTTGCCACTTCTTCTTTTCTTGTTACAGTAGAAAGAGAGTGTTTGGAATACGCAAAACCTTAATATTGGACTTGCACCAGGAAACGAAGCCAGGAAATACGTGCTCTGAAAAATGGGCAAATCCAAGATGGCAGTGGCTGAGGGACAAAACACCAGGGAGTTTAGGATTATTGCAGTATGAAAGGCTCCATGAACCACAATAAATCCCTGACAAATGTGTTTGGTTTTTTTTTAAAAGCCATCTCTGAAAACTTTCCAGAATACACTTCTACTTTTGTCTATTTTACAAATAACTACACGGCAAATTCAGGGCAACTCTCTTCTAGAGAGATGCATTCTCCAAACAGGGCTTCTAATACTGAAATATCCCTAGTCCAGGTTTGCAAGTCTGAAGATGCCCTTGTGAAGCAATGATATGCTAATTAAATCGTACTGTCCATTATGTCTATAATCTGTCCTGTGTCCAGTGTTGGGTGAAGCAGGTGCATCCTCTCAAAGAGCTTCCATAAAATGTTCTCTCTCTGTATTTTTAGACACAATTACTTTGCAGTAAAGGTATATATTTGGGAATTTTACAAATAAATTACATGATAAAACAATCCCCACAAAGATGCTAGAAGCGACCACACAGGTTTCACGAAACTAGTCAGTAAAGAATTATTGTTTCTTTACTTCCAAAAAATAACAGCATGGTCTCTAAATTCATTTGCACACTTGTTCTTTCTCTTACCAGCTGTTGCCCTTTTGGACCCCAACCAGCATACTGAAGCTTTGCATTGCTGACCTCAGGGGGATACAAATTCTGGGGATCCCTGCAAAAAGAGAAAAATAAGATTTCACCTTCGGAAATGTCCTTATTTAAGCTGGTGCACACCTACATCAGAAATCCACCATGACGTCATAAGGCATCTTTCAGCTGGAATCATCTAGTATTTAGTGCCAGATTTCAGTAGATATTTTCACCATAAGGTAAGCTCTATTCCACTAGCAAGCTTGGTTAAGATTAAGTATTTAAATGATAATTTCTGTTTCTTATTAATATGAAGTTAAACACATTAGTTCCGCTGCTGAGTTGCCTAAGCCTTAAGAATTAGTCAAGGGATGGCAAACAATGTATTTATCAACACTGATGATGTCCACAAAGGATAAAAAATAATTATATTTTTGAATCATACTGCCACAAGAAAAATATAATTTCATCTTCTTCACCCCATGGCTTTTCTGCCTAACGATTTTCCTTTGAACATGACAGCATAAAAGTTTAGCAACTGTGTAACAACTGATGTGCAGCCTGGCTTCGAAGGGAAAAGCTCCTATTAATACCAAATATCTCATTTTTTAAGAAAATAAAATCAAAATGCTCTTCTTGTTCTTTCATCCATTACCTTCATTTTGTAGCAGAAATCAGTGAGACATAGCAAATGCAATATAGAAAAAGGAGGCTTTTTTGGTAAATGTCAGAGCAGCATAATGTCATTTTATCACAGCACAGACAGCATTGCTTGACTGTATTGATACTCAGCACAAATAATTACATTACATATTCTGAAGTCACATTGCTACAACTCTGCATATAGTAATATTCCACCAACAAGAACACTAATAAAGCCTGTCTGTATACAGTATGACTCATTAGTAAATCTCAAACTGCTTTAAAAAGTAAAGGGTATTATCATCACTGGTCCACAGATAGGAATAACAAGGCAATTTAGGGCCAACATCACCCCAAAAAACCCAAAGACCCAAATCCTGCCTAGCCTTTAAGCAAAAGGCCTTCTCTTCTTATACAGAGTTTATTTCTTCATTAAAGGCAATGTTTTCCAGACCATATTTTCAAAACAGAAGAAAACTGAATGCAATAATTAGACACTAACTGAATTCTCTTTATTGCCTGTTTTGTGACCTGGTGCTGTACCACAGTTACACTCTGGCTCTGCCCTTTCAAGTAAGATCTCCCTTGGCTGCACATTTTCGCTTCACTGGGGCTGTTGTAACCAGTCCAAAGACAGCAGCAAGAGAAATGTTTAGATTGATGTCGTGCAGTCTTTCCGATGTGAAAAAAATAGCTTTTCCTGTGAACCCCTGTTCAAAGGCCAGCTAGGATCAGGGCAGACCCTAGATAAGGACACCAATGCCTACAGTTTCCCCCTTCCATAACTCCTGCAGTTGGAACAGCAACTTCTGCTCTCCTGCTAGGTGGTGTCTATCAGTGGTTATAAACCATAACCCATGATGTCTGTGAGGCCCCTGGGAAGAAGTCCATGGAGCCAACTAAAATTAAAGCGCTCAGGATCACAGGTTTGATGCAGATGGGATCCATTAGGAATGCGGAGGGGCAAGAGTGGTTTGTTGAGGCACTGACCTTTCTGAGCGTAATGCAGGGTGCCCAGATAGCTTTTTGGCTCTGTAGGCAAAGCGTCGTCCACAACTGCTGCCGGTGGAGTAAAATTATACCTTTTCTTCTCATTGTTTTTAACCAGGTGTCTTTGTGAGTAGTCTAAAGTCACTTTTGTAAGGTATGGATAAGAGAACACGTAACTCTCATAATGAACTCTACTAATAGCAGCCGCAAAACTCCCATTCCAGTCAGAAGAATAGCCATACAATTTCTTCTGGATCTTTTCAAGCTTGTATGCATTAGCTACTTAAGTTTCAAGTCCGCTATTCCTGTTAAGACTCAATCTCTTTGGTTAGCTATCTTGATTATCTTAACAGAGAGTAAGTTCTGAGTGCAGGAGGAAGAGAGAAAAATAGTGAATCAAATCAAAACCTCCTATGGGAGAAAAAAAAAAGTACTTCACTATTTGTCAAATGAACTATCTAGTTCTTGGGGTTTTTTTTACCCATGGTGAGAAGAGAAGCAGGATATTACAAATAGAGGGGGAAATATCACCCCTAAATAAACAGATTATACAAACTGTAAGAATTCAAACCTGTAATGCTTCAGATAACACAGGTGGAGCTAAGGGACAGCCATACCAATTACAGCCGATAATTCAGACCAGAGCCCAGACAAGTCCTGTCAGTTCCACTCACTGCATCATCTTTTAGATGAGAAAAGCTCTAACGCAGTGAGAAATGCTGCATAAACCAGCTTTGGTAGCTGATAAGGCAGAAGAAAAAGCACTCCATTTGATCTACCAGCAAAGAGCTCTGCTGCAGACAAAAGAGCAAAGTCATCTTCCCTTTCTCTGGTATAGCTGAGGAAAAATAGAATTGCATCTCCTGAGTTCCTTCTTAAGTTATTCAAAATGGCTGGGAAACTTCTTTTGTAGCAAAATCTTGTTTGCCTTGAAACCTTTTGATAAAGGTTATCAGATATAAAGGCTGACTGATGGAACTGCATATTGTCTGGAGGTGCCTGATTTACAAACCTAGTTACCATAAACTGCCTCTATATTCAGCACGTAACAGCGTGCACATCCAGGCTGTGATGTAGACCACTGAAGGAAGGCAGTAGCCAGGCATCCATCCTCATGCTGTGACTTGTCTTTTCTACTACTGGCTGTGAAAGAAGTCTAAGATTCTAGTTTCTCCCCACAAACACTCCTGAGAGGTGGACATTTTCCTCTTGGTAGATTTTGGCTTGTTCTCATCTCTTCTGAAGAGAATCCTCTTCCCTAGAGTAGCAAAACACACTCCCTCACCTTCAGGGAACTTCAATGTCATGTGCAAGGGGATTGAGAAGACTTCCCTCCTTGCCAAGCCTGATCTAGCAGTCTCCAGAGAAACTGCAAGAATGATCCGGAGATGGACTGTATTAGCAGTGGACAGGGGAGACCAGGCTGTCAGCAAGCCTGAAGGTGGCATGAAAATGGAGTTCACCTACTCATGAACCCTACCGTGAAAGACCAGATTCCTACATGCTTACTTGGGCTATGTTGGGTGCACAGTCTGCAGTGGAATATGCATGGATTTCCTCCCCAAGCAAGCCCTTTACAAACCCACAATATCACCTATAGAGAGAGGAGGAGTTGTCTACACAGCTGAGGGATGGCCACAACCCTCTATCGTTCTCCCCAGGAAAGCTCTTAGTGATCCCCAAACTGAAAAACCTGTTTGAAGAGCAGCTATCAAATATATTTCTGATTATCTCCTACTGTTCTGGACCTTTAGCTCTCCTTGGTAAAAATCCCTTAAGGGAGTCAGACCAACTGCACACCTATATCCCAGGAGCACTTGCCCATTTTTCAAGTGCTGCATAAATGAGATCTCATGCCAGGCACATTCTTCTGGGAGGTATGTTATTGCTGATAAACTATAGTCCTCCATAGCTACACCCCTGCTTCTCCTTCAAAGCAGCCTGCTTAAACTTCCTCTATTTTTCCTTGAATCCATCAATATTATGGGTCATCTCAGCCTCTCCAAAGAGCCAGTGATCCTCACAGACCTTCATAGTTGGGGCTTGTTTGGATCTGAATCTTCCCCTTGTGAGCTCATTTGTGCAGGATGGTGGCTTGGAAAGGGGCTATTCTGAAGGCAGTCTGTGTATCTCCTGTTAGTGGTTTGCATAAAGAACTAGGTTCACTGCGTCCTTACACCATTTTCACTACTTCCTTACAGAAAATAACCTTAATCTTCATTTCCAGCCAAAGAAATGTCAAGGCCTTATTAAAGGGTTGCAATTATTTCTTTCATCTCGTAAGATAATTGATTTTAAAGCCCGGGAAAGAAGGGAATAATAATGTTGTTTTAAGACAGACGGAAGATTGAGCAGGTGCTATATAAACTCTTCCATGTTAAGATGACATTGTTGGGACTAGAGGCTGTTAAATTGCTTCAGACACAAGCATGATCTCAGCACAATGTTCAAAAAACATTTCTAAAGTAGTAAATTGTGAAATCTTTCTGCTAAAATGTCTCCCCTCAAAATTCCCAAATAAGGAAAATTCCTGAGTGCAATTAGCATGCTGCCAAATCATTTTTGCTGGTAATTTAGCTCAGAACATATAAGTAGAATAAAACAAACTAATCAATCATATCAGGTTGCCTGGTTTAGACCTTAAAAAATACCGTGATTAATGAGGAACTAGTTTTAAATAGATCGTATTGTTTTTTGCTGAAAATTTTACATCTGTGTGTTCCCTCTTTGACATTTTCTCCTATTCTAAAGATCAGTTTCCCTCAGAAACTTCATGGCACTGAGTCTCCCCCTGAGCACAAACATGACAAATTGTTCTATATTAAGTTCTTCAAAAGCAACTTAAAATAAAAAACCCAGACATTTTCTACACATTGAGGGAGTGGCTCCGTTTACTTCAAGAAAAATATTTTACAATGCCAGACTGAAAAGTCTGAAACTGAAAAAAGCAGTCAAAGTCTAGGGTATGGCATAGGCTGTTCTTCTAGGGTCTGTTTTAATAACTTTTAATTTTAATTTTAAATACAGAACAATAGCATTTGTAGGGAAATTCTTTGCACATGCTGCCAATGTGAGCAAAAATGCAACAACTTGCACCAATGGCTGCTCCGACATGTTCATCCTCTAAAAAAATAACCAAAACTATGTATATGAGCTGGAGTGAAGTTTTAAGAAAAACTTTGAACCCTCTTGCTTAACTATACCATAATTTTGGGAAAGATAGAAAGTGTATTAAGATTTCAGTAGTAGAAGTTGAAGAAATAAAGACAGTTAAAAACAAGTGTGGAGAAGGCAGAAATATCCCCTCTTGCTACTTACATCAAGCCAGCACTGAATATTTTAAAAGACAACAGCCCTAAGCACATCAGCTCACAATACTTTAAAAGCCCTTTTTCATGGTTAACTGTAAAAAACTATTTTATTTCTATCTATCTATCTATCTGTCTATCT